TTGTATATACAAAAAGAACAGAATGGCATCTGACATCCAATAGTCACCCTGGATATCAAAGCAAGAATGTCTTCAAACGTCCCAGCAGCAACACTGAAAGTTTAGCAGATGCCTTCAAAATTGGGAATGGAGGCTACTCAAGAATTCTATACCTTTTCAAAATAGCAAACAAGTGTAGTGGTACAACAATATTTTCAAACATGTAAGGTCTCAAAATATTTAACTCTCATGTTTCCTTTTCAAAAGGTATTGAAGGATGTGCTTCACCAATATGTGGAAGTAAACCAAGGAAACGGGAAATAATGGACATAACTGGAAACAGATTTGACACAGGAGAGAAAAAGGGGGTCATTGATGGAAGATGATAGCTATAAACCAACACAGACTGAAGCAGATCAAGATACCAGGATTTCTACACAAAAATATTTCCCATGCTGATCAAGTGTCTTCACTTCATTTTAGTGCAATGCCTAAAATTCCTGCCGTCTTTACTGTGAATAAATGGACTGCTCAACTTTTCTCATCAATCTACAGGCTGTTGAGTTATAATTTTGTTTCTTGTTCTTTGGTTCCCCATGCTCTAAAACAATTTCAGGTTAAATTTTCACCTAGTTCAGTATTTGAAAGAAATTAAATTGGGTCTAAACTTAGAATGAATTTTGAAAGGTAACGAAACTAAACCCCTCAAGTTCAGAAAAAAAAGAAAACCCAAAAAACAACATGATCTCTCAAAAATGAGACCTTTTAATTACTCCTTTTTGAGCTAGTATTCCCATCCTGATTTTAAGGGGTAAGTTCCTGACAGTCGAATATAGAGTACAGTATATCTTTGTTAAGGAGAAATTAGTTTTGACTATTGGAGATTTCCAGCCCCCTTTCTACTAGGCCAGCGCTAGGTAACCTTCCCTTTTTCTCTAGAAAACCAATTTGCACAACATGCTCCGGAGAATGCAAAAGGATGTTTCAAACTTGAAGCTCAGTTCTGTTTTGTTTTTTAAATGAAACTCTTGCCCAGCACAATCTCTTCTAGTCTAAATAAGCCAAGTCTAATTTCCTGTTTTCTTTTTCTTATGGCTCAATCTAGAACAAATATCTTCCAATTCCTCTAGGTTTCTATTCCCTCTTTTCCTGTCTGTGTTTGTATTAAAGGAACAACGAGAATCTACTGGAAAGCAGTTTCACCTCAAAGAGTTTGCCAAACTCTTCTCTATTGAAGGGCTTCTCACCCTTTCTCACTCAAGTGGTTTAATGCGACAGTACTTCATGGAGCTATATTCCTCACGCTATTGCCAGGAATTAAACATAAATAAATTTTGTAGGTAAAGTCATGAAATGTGGCCATTTGGACCCATGAACTCAAAGACAATAATAAACAATTAAAAACAACTTAATTATATTGTAACATTTGTTTCTCTTAATATATAGCTTACAAATAAATTACAAGTTATATAGCAGTATTTCATAGAAAAAACACACTTCCATCTTACTCATGTAAAGTTGAATAACGGTAAGAATCAAGAGATACCCTATGTGTATGAAACTGTCCTTATTTTGTTCCTAGCATTTCTAAGTCACACAAATGAACTCCCTGACAAGAGAAGACTGAGGAATTTTCTTCATGAATCAAAAACTAAATTCCACTGACAACTGAGCATTCTTTTCTATGGCTCTAATTTCAGCTTGAACAGCTAATTTCATGAACAGGCATTAGCTCCAACATTTATAATATTTTTTTCCTGCACTTATTAACCCCACATTGGCAGAGGATTTCTTTATCTGGTACAGTTCCAGGTTCATAACCATAATCCCATGTTAATTCTGTTCTTGCTTTCACATACCTAGAAAGTAAAAATTAAAAAAATAAATTACCCTGAATAAACCAAACTTGACTACATTAATTTTCATGTTAATATCATTAACCATCCTCAAAAATATGTTTATTCTCTCTGACACCCACCAATTAGGACTGCTCTTTCATTAAAAGAATAATCATTTGAGTTTTATTTCAAATGTGCTAAAATCCTAAGAAAGAAGAAATCTGTCAATATCTACGAAGAAGGAACCTGGTGATGTGATGAGGCCTGCAGTGTGGTATTTGAGTGTAGACATTATGCCCATGTAGCAATTTGCACCATTTATCCCCTGAACTGAACTGGGTGAGAACTGGCATCCTTAGCCCTTTCAAGCATTAGCTCTAAAAGGAAATAAGAACTGAAATTTCAGCTGTTTCAAATTTTGCTGAGTAGGAAGAGTTTGGGATAATTGAATATTCTAGAGTACTAGATATTAGGGGCCATAGCACATATCTTTTCATATTTTTCTTTTCTTTTTTTTGCTTCCATCCCTGTCCCTCTCTAGTTTCCTTTCTTCTTCTATTGTTGTTTTTAAAGTCACAATTTCATAGTTATATCATAAAAAATTTCAAACCTGTTGGTGAAGAATGCCACCAATGGAAAATTCCTGTCATGTGTTTCTACAAAAACGTTCTGTACCAAAAGATTTGGGCAACAACTATGCTGTTAAAAAAAAAAAAATTAAAACAGAGGTTAGATACAGCATACAGTTTGATGTCTTGTTCTTTGAAGCATTAGAATACCATTGTTTCCAACAAAGTTCGCTTATTTTTGTTTCTTTTGCTTTTCTGTTGACTAATATGTAAATTATCATAGCTCACTACAATCCAGTTAATAGTAGGAGTCTATTCAGAAAAGCCTGTCACATTCTTATATCCTGCTGGTAGAAATGCAAAATGGTATAAATCCCTAAAGAAGATAATTTGTCAAGACTACTCAATATTATAAATGCATGTATCTTTTGATTCAGTAATCCCATATTTGATAATGTATTCTATAGATACAGCTATACATATACCTATGTGTAAGATTACTCATCAAGCATTGTTTTAACAGTAAAAGTTTGGAAACAACCCCAAAGAATATCTCTATATATAAAACTCTAATATGCAAATAGACCGAACGGCAGAACTGGTCACTATGACGTGTGCTGACCACCAGGGGACACGCGCAGAACATGGTGAGCATCAGCCACGGCGGGATGGTGGAGCTGGTGAGTGGCGGCGCTAGACTAAGGTGGGGCACCAGTTGCCATGATTGGGGTAAGCCTCTGGTGGTTACTGAAAATACTTTGCTCCTGCGCGCTGTGGTCCCGCCCACTTGCACCTGCAGCCGGCACTGGAGTCGCCGCTCGCACCCACTGCCAGCACCTGGCGCCGGTCCTGATCACTTGGTGCTGTCAGCCGGTGCCAGCCCCAATTATTCCACACTATCAGCAGGTGCGAGTGGGGCCAGCGCCATCAGCACGTGGGAGCAGCAGTGGTGGGAGCGGGGTTGCTGGCAGAAAGGGGACTGGGGCCACTGCCAGAGTGGCTGGGCAGGGGTGTGGAGGATGGGCTGAGACCCACCCCTGTGCCCACCGCAGCCTCGCAGCCCACAGTTCCTTTCAAGGTGCATGAATTCGTGCACTGGGCCCCTAGTCTAAAGAGAATTGGTTAAATAAACTTCAGTATATCAACACAAAAGAATTCTATGCAGCTATGAGCAAAAAAAATGAGGAGCTCTCTCTGTGTAGTGATATGGAAAGATCTCCAGGGTACATTGTTAATTTAAAAACACGGTATAGGACAGTGACAACAATATGCGTAAGGACACATATTTACATTTACTTGTATCTGCATGAAGAAACACTGTAAGAATGAAAGAGAAAGTAATACAAATTATTACTATAGGTGGCACGGTAAATGTGGATATAGTATTTCTCACAGTATGTTTCTTTTTCTAACAAAACATAAAAGTTTAATATAAAAGACTGTCTATAACCAGAGTTTTACATCATAGTGAAGAGGCCCTTTGGAAAGGGGACATGTGTAAGCACTGCTGAACATAACCATTACTTATACTTGTTCCAACAGTATCTACACATGATGATGCTATTTCCTCCTATTACCACCCATCATTCTAATATTGTTCTATTGCCATCTCCACACATTCATCCATCACCAGATTCATAAAAGAATCAAATCCCCACAATATTCCTTGGACATGTGGGCAAGCTTTTCATTTCAATGATAATAACTTCCTGTCCATACATTTTTAAATTTGAGTCAATGAGCTTCACTCATGGTGCTTACTCGGCAGGCTTAGAGCTACCTTGAAACAGAATTCTATTTAGCTATATGGCTTATTCTGCATGGCTTATTATTTTATTTCAATTTTTAAGTCATATCAATGTATTATCTAGGTAGAAAAATTAAATTAAAAAAAAAGAGCAAGATAAAGAAAAAAAGGAAGAGCCTGTTTTTGTTGTTTTTTCTCCTACAAACAAAGGAGGGACCTGGCTCATGTGCTGATTGGGAGAGGTGAAACCAACTCAATCGTGTACGTACAGTCACCATTCAACATAACTGATGGGAAATAAAGCCATGAGAGTCCTTTGCTGGGGATCCTTATTTAATGGATTTCCTGACATGTTTGGCAGAGTGTAGAAGCAGTCAAAGTGGAATAGAGAACAGCAGTTGGGGGACAAAGTAGGGGAAGAGATCATTTTATTCCTTGTTAATCAAGTATTCTAACTAGGAAAGAAAAAAACAAACCAAATTAGCAGATTCACCTAGCAAGGAAAAAGTTCTTTGGCTTTATTTACTTTTTAAAATATATTTTCATTGATTTCAGAGAGGAAGGGAGAGGGAGAGATAGATAGAAACATCAATGATGAGAATCATTGATCGGCAACTTCCTGCATGCCTGACATTGGGGATCAAGTCCGCAACCCGGGCATGTGCCCTGACCCAGAAATGAACCATGACCTCCTGGTTCATAAGTTGACACTCAATCATTGAGTGACACTCGCCAGGCAAGCTCTTTGGTTTTAAAGATTTCCTGACTTACGAATATTTTTTCTTCTGATGGCAGCTGAATTACATGTAAAATTATCAGTGCACATACATTTCAAACCATTCAAATGTCTCATTTAAAGAGGCACTGAGCTTACCTTAAAAATGTCAAAGGGAATGCTTATGAGAATCATGGGCCATGCATGCTTCCCTTCCTTCACCTTTATTTTAGGGGAAAAGTCAAAGCTGCCCATCCACTAGTCCCTTCCCACCGGGAGGAAGAAGAGCTCTGATACAGACAATAGAGAACAATTAAGGCCGCATCCAGGGGACAATGTGCTATAGTGGACCTTTCCAAAGGATGTGAGGAAGGATCAAAGTCCTTGTCCTCCTTCCATGACTCTTCACTCTCTTGGATATGATAAGCAGACAAAGTGGAGTCCAGAGATCAGGGAGCCAGGCAGAAGGGCCTGGCTCAGCTCTCAAACAGATGGTTCAGGGTTTCCCCATGGTTCAGTCACTAAAGACTGGAAAGACTATATAGACAATGGGACTAAAGGTTGAAGGAGATTTCCTTCCCTTATAGGATTCCTGGGATCATATAATCTTTGATAATGCCTGATAGTAGGAGGCAGGACAGAATAAAAGTCACAAGGTAACGTCAATTTCACCTTACACAAGAGATTATAACCAATAATACAAATTACTCCTCTTATCATGAAGATAACAGGAGTCTTAAGTGTTAATTAACCTTGAAATCAAAGGAATCATACATAATTCTCTATATAAATGAAATAAATCTTCTTATATATATCCCAAACATACACACAAACAGTAAATGACTATGGTTTGGGAATTTAAAAAAAGAGGATAGTTATATGTAATATTCTGATAAATGTACTGGTTTTCTACATAAACCATGAAATCACTCAAAACTTACTAAAAGTAAAATAAATACCTACAACGGATTTTTTTGAACTATTAGAGGCATCTCTGAAGAAGAGCTACTGTATTATATAAGACTCAAAAGAGAAACTTATTCTATGTGTCCCACTGTGATTTTTTTTGGAAGTAATAAATCTTTCAATAAATGTAAATAATTTTCTTACATACCATTTATATAATTTTCTTAAGCAAATGTTTAACAATGTGCCAGGTACTGTTTAAGCACTTTACATACTATATATAACTCATTTAATCCTATGAGTAAGTTGTTATTATTATCCCCATTTTATAGAAGTCAGAAATAAGGTATGAGGTCAAGTAACATGTCCAAGGTCATACAAGTGAAAAACTGGCATCCTAATCCAGGTAATCTGGCATTAGAATTTGTTAATCATATTTTCCTTATAATTTTATTAAAAAGCACACACAAAAATGTTTAGAAATATAAATCTCAGCAGATATACTCACATTAAGAAAGCGGCCCACATTTCCTTCCTTTGTGGCATCCAATAAAAACACTCTTCCTTTACTGAACTTGAGAGATTCACATGAAGTATTATTCTTGGTTTCACCTGGCAACTCTTTATTACAAAAGACATAATGGTTTTGACAAGCTGGAGAGTTTTCCTCTTGGGGCTTTAGCATTTGAACCTCAAACTTCTTCATAATATCCTGATTATCCAATGTGGTTGCGTGGTTACTTATGCCCCCTGATGAAGTTTCTTCTCTACCTTTAGTTATATCTATCACATCTGAGTCAATCAGCAAATTGTCTTCAGAATCTTCAACTTGATTTGAGCTTGAGTCCGCTAATAAACATTTTAGAAAGAATCGTCAGGAAATATGCTTGGCTAAGCAATAGTGCTAAGATTAGCAATGCTAATTAAATGCTAGTTGCTTTAATTACCACTAATCCTTAAAATGTGTTAAGGCAGACAGCCCTCCAATTTTATATTGAAAACTTTGAGCCTCTGAGGGATTAAGGGATTCACCTGACCCACAATAATAAAGAAATTGGGTAACAAACTCAGAAATGTCTGGTTCCAAAGTCTGCCGTCTTTCTACTACATAACAATGCCTTTTAATGAACTTACATGTTGCTTCCTGACTTCTCTTCAATTTTGGATTCTGAATTTAAGTATATTCTAAATTTTTAAAAATTGATTTTAGAGAGAGAGGGAGAAAGCAGGAGGGAGGGAAGTGGGAGGAGAAAGTGAAGGAGGGGGAGGAGAGAGAAGGGGAGGAAGGAAGGAAAAGGAGGGAGGGGGGGAGAGAGAGAGAGAGAGAGAGAGAGAGCCATTTGTTGCCCCATTTATTTATACATTCATTGGTTGCTTCTTGTATGCGCTCTGACCAGGGATCAAACCTGCAACCTTGATGTAACAGAATGCTCTAACCCAGTGGTCAGCAAACTGCGGCTCTTTGGCCCCTTGAGTGTGGCTCTTCCACAAAATACCACGTGTGGGCGCGCATGTACAGTGCGATTGAAACTTCGTGGCCCATGCCCAGAAGTCGGTATTTTGTGGAAGAGCCACACTCAAGAGGCCAAAGAGCCGCATGTGGCTCACGAGCCGCAGTTTGCCGACGACTGCCAGCTAAACAATCCAGCCAAGGCTAAGTATATTTTAAACAGCTGTAACAGTGGTTTGTAGGGAACACTCCAGGCCTTTAAGACACCAAAGGCCTGAAAAGACCCTGTCGAAGTCATCCTCTACAATAACTGTATTGCTATAACTTTTGCTGGCACGTGAAACCCTCTCTTATAGTCTTCCATTTACAATTTTTTTCTTAATATCGACTTTTTTATTTTTCAGATAAATTCAGTGTAGATGCATCTTAGATAAATAAATAATTTTATGTAACAAGTGATCTTAAAGACCATAGACATGGATTGACGCGAGAGGGGAAGAGCCATTTCAATAGTGTCGAATTTTTCATCATCATATACTGTGTTTTTGTCGCTCGAATGAATTTTATTATTTCTTCAAGGTTCTTCACATAAGTACACCTTAAGAGATATCAAGTAGGCGTAACATGTTCTCAAAAAATTAGGGTTGGCACACAGAAGAATTTTGAGTCAAAGATTTTGCTGGTTTTGGCACGCACTCACAAAAAGGTTGCCCACCCCCGCTATAGGCTTTGTTCACATTAGTGCTTGGTGTGTATTCTAGACGACCATTCAATAATCACACTTTTACAAACAATAATACTTTAGAAGAAGATTAACTGCTTAATCATTTTTAGAAATAATTTTTTAGAATATTCAAAAGTATGAATGCATGTCAAATGAAATAAATCATTTATTTTTAATAAAACTTGTACCACATCAGTGGCATGAAGAAATAATATTTCTCTATGTTATTGATTTAATCATTAGTATTGCTGGCTGCTGTTCCTATATGTACTCATACTTTAATCATAGATTACTTGTAAGCACTAACAGTAAATAACTAGTTTTTTCTTAGTGCCTCCTATATACATTGTAGTGATCAATGAAAATGGCAAAACAAGCAAAAGCAATAGCACTCATTATGATTCACATGCATTAAAATGGTGAAGGAAATCAGAATATGTCATCCCAAAATATGCCGCTTTGACATAAGAATTATTTAAATAGCACATGTAGAAAAAGCTCTCTGCCTCCCCCTATTCTGCCTAAAAGCAGGATATAAATTTACAAAGGTGTGCCTTCTCCTACTAGAAAGGACAAAAGTTAATCACTGGTGACAATTTTAGACCTTTATTATCCTTGAGACTGAACCAGAGAAATCTAGGAAACAAACTTTACTAACTAGTCTATATCTACCATTGGTTTCCCATATATTTGCCTTCCCACAATTTGCCACCCCTAAAGACTAAAGGTCCTTTTCCTTTGTCTTGCTATGCCTCTAAAAATTTATTGTTCTTTGGCTAAGATTCTAAATAAGCAGGAATTCTAAACCACCTCTGAGTTACTCATCTCTGAGTATAGCAGTCCCCCCTTTATATGTGAGAAATACATTCCAAGACTCCTAGTGAATGCCTGAAACTGCGGCTAGTACTGAATCCTATACTGTTTTTTCCTACACATACATACCTATGAGAAAGTTTAATTTATAAATTAGGCACAGTAGGAGATTAAAAATAAATAGACTAATTATAACAATATACTGTAATAAAAGTTATATGAATGTGTTCTCTCTCAAAATACCTTATTGTAATGTACTCCCCTTCTTGTGATGATTTGAGATGGTACAATGCCTGTGTGAGGAGATGAAGTGAATGATGTGGACATTGTGATGTAAAGTTAGGCTACTATAAGGTTTACTTGAACATAATCACTGCAATATTGCAACAGTCAATGTGATCAATGAGATGGCTACTGAGGCAAGTAGCATATATAGTGTGGATACTCTAGCCCAGCCGTGGGCAAACTACGGCCCGCGGGCCGGAGTCGGCCCGTTTGAAATGAATAAAACTAAAAAAAAAAAAAAAGACTGTACCCTTTTATGTAATGATGTTTACTTTGAATTTATATCAGTTCACACAAACACTCCATCCATGCTTTTGTTCCGGCCCTCCGGTCCAGTTTAAGAACCCATTGTGGCCCTCGAGTCAAAAAGTTTGCCCACCTCTGCTCTTGATAAAGGGGTGTCCTAGGTAGTATGGAGTGAGATGACACAAGATTTCATTATGCTACTCATAATGGTATGCAATTTAAAACTTATGAATTGTTTATTTCTGGAATTTTCCATTCAATATTTCTGGGCTGTGGTTAATGGGGGTAACTGAAACCATAGAATGTGAAACAGTGGATAAGGGGGACTACTGTAGTCCCTTGTGTTACATGTACAATACACATGATGATAGTAATAAACTTCTGTTTGCTTTGTCAGTCTAATTTACAGGACCCCCGCCAGTCAACATAAGATAGGGAGAGGAAGAGTGTTTTACCTCCCCTACAAGGTGAAATAATTACAATACATAAATGCCTTCTCTTGATAGGCCTTTTCAGTCAAGGAGTTTCCTTGCCTCCTCCAATCTCTATCCTTTGAGACCAGGCAGAGAAATGGGAGTGCAGATATAAGGAAGCTCAAAAGAAGAGGTAATGAGTCATCTCTCAGCAATGTCTCCCCACTCAGGGATACAGTGAAATGCAAAAGGACCCAAACCCAGGTTTGTCAGGTTGTAATATTAGCTATGGCAGGGTTGGTAACACTGAAATACAAGAACTCAGGGTAGCAATATTTTCACTTTTTGCTGAGCATCCCCAGCAGCAGTGTTGGCTGGAATACTGCAGTAGAATGCAGTGGGTTTTTTTTTTCTTTTTTTTTTTAATGCTGTATATTTTTAAAGGAGCCCCCAACAAGTTAGGAAATGGCTGCTTTGGACAATGCCTCCAAAGCCACAGATAACACTGTGGACAATGTAAACTAAGAGTTGTACATCCCACTCCTTCCTGCCATGTCAGGTCACAGGTGGCATCTAGATGAGGGACCAGCAAACTTCTATACGAGTGTAAATAGTAAATATTTCAGGCTTTTTTTGGCCATATGGCCTTTGTCATGATTATTTAGCTCTGCTGCTATAGTGTGAAAGTAGAGACAATATGTAAATGAATGAATGTGGTGGCTATGTTTCAATAAAAACTTTATGGACACAAATTGAAATTTCCTATAATTTTCAAGTGTCATAAAATATTATTCATCTCATTTTTATCAGTTATTTAAAAAGGTAAAAATCATCTTAGCTCATAGGCCATACATAAACAGATGGTAGTCTAGATTTGGCCCACAAACATAGTTGCCAACCTGTCAATTTTAGACAAGCAGTAACTTTTGTGATGAATGCAGCATGTTTGTTTTGGAGTCTGAGAAAATGAGCCACAGATACTGAGCAAGACAGACAAAAAGGCAGAAGAGACAGGCAGAGTTAAACAAAGCCTACTTTTCATCTCTTTGGCTTTAGAGCTCTGATGTACTTGGGTTGGTTTAAATCCATCATTATCTTCAAAGGTGACAGATTCTGAGGAAGCAAATCCCTTAAAAGAAAACAAGGAAGATGTTACCTCCTAGGTCAGGAAAATGAATTTAATTTAGTGCTTAGGCCTCTTTTATCAAGTGTCAATCTTCATAGGCTATAGCTACTACATTGGTTTTGAAAGCCGCACACCTGATATCATAAGGAAACTTAGGAGTGATGGAGCCCTTTTGGCTGTTCTACTTGTAGGCATGTCAGTTAGGCTACAGCTATGAAGACCAGAAAAACAGTCAAAGCATTAAAACACAAAATAAAATTAAAATACATCTGTTCTATCTCTTAATTCTGATACCAGACTATAAATTTGGATAAAAACACTGTGGCTAGATTTTACTTCCAAAAAATGGTTAAATAAGTTGCCTAGACACTGCAGTGACTTAAAATGGTGATAACTTTTAAAAAGTGTTATCTGCTTAGCACAGCACATGACACAACTAACTGCTCAGTAAAAGTTGACCATTAATGTTATTCAAATACTTAAATGGTCAACATTTATTGAGCACTAACCCGAGAGTCAAACATGTTTCTGATGTTTACCTCACTTAATCCTCCTGACTTTAGATACTATTATCCTCATCTAACAGACAAAGAAATGTAGAAAAGGAGACGTCACCCAGCTAGAAAGCAGAGTTCAAGCCCAGTTCAGAGTGATCCCCTGGCTCAACTTTTTCATAATTATGTATGTGATACTGAGGATATTCCTACTGTAGGTTAGTAGGCAGAGGACAAAATTTGCAAACTACCCAAAGCAGAGTTATTATCTTCATCAAAGCCCTATGTGAACTACCATTATGTCTGCCTCTCTTCTTTTTCCTGCATCTTTCTCTGTTCCTAAATTACAGTCTCTGACTAGTTATCCTAGATTGAAAACTACCTTCAGTGGCTATCATGTAAAATGTTGCTTTCTGGATGACGTTTCATTAGGTTGCAACTCTTTTTTTTCATGCATTTTCACAACCTTATCTCCTTAATCTAAATTACTCCATCCTTTTTCTTTTTAAAAAAGAAAAAGATTTTATTTGTTTTTTATTTTTTTTACAGAGAAGAAGGGAGAAGGATAGAGTTAGAAACATGGATCAGTTGCCTCCTGCATACCCCCAACTGGGGATGTGCCTGCAACCAAGGTACATGCCCTTGACCGGAATCGAACCTGGGACTTTTCAGTCCGCAGGCCGACACTCTATCCACTGAGCCAAACCGGTTAGGGCCTCAATCCTTTTTCTTAATATTTTTCTTATTATTATTATCAACTCACACACTTTAGCTTCTATAAATTCACAGAACAGGATGTCCCTCAGTCTCAGTGGAACATACTAACCATTATGGAGGATACTAAGTAAATAAAATGTGATTATTGACACTTCAACAGTATACCCATTTCAAAACAGTAAAATAAATCCTACACATTATTAAATAGCACAAACAATTTGAACTAAGTAAAAGATAGAAAGGTGAGATAATAGTTAATATTCTCAGAAGGACCCCATCTATATTTTGCAGTTTTTACCATCTTTTTCCCATCGGGTTGAATAATGGCTATCTTGGCTTCTGGAGTTCTAATGACTGAATGACACTGAATTCTTGAAATATTGTTATATTTCATTTCTCTGAAAAGAAAAGAAAAAGTTATTCTAGATAATATCAATGTTATAGAAATATCCATTAGAAATTAATGTAAGTAATAATACCTATGCCTCACCCTTACCAGAAGAGAATATAATACTACTAGAGGCCTGGTGTACGGATTCATGCACTGGTGGGGGGCATGGCCTGCGGGGATCAGCCTGCTGTGAGAGCACTGCTTATCCCGGTCAGCTGAGTGGCTAGGACCCGCCCTCTGAGCAGCTGCTCCCACTGTGGGAGTGCCATTCATCCTGGTTAGCTGCTCCCACTGTGGGAAAATAAACATAACTGCAAAGCACAACACCCATAAAGAACCTGATAAAAGTCATCAAGTTTTTAAAGGTTAAACTCCAGAAATGCAACACTGAAGAAATAGTGTGTTCACTAGATTTTTAAATCTCAGTGTCCTTGATTTCTCAGTGTTAAACTTACAACTGTGAAGCAAGTTTATATACAGGAGGGATATGGGAGTGGGGGGAAGGAAGGAAGGAAGGAAGGAAGGAAGGAAGGAAGGAAGGAAGGAAGGAAGGAAGGAAGGAAGGAAGGAAGGGAGGGAAGGAGGGAGGGAGGGAGGACAGCTGAACAACCACTCTTGACCAATAATACAGATCAATTTTTGATTGGGTTCCTAAGATCTTACTTACATAACAGGCTCTTCTGGATTATTATTGAACTTAGGTGGACATTCTTCACTCTTAGCACTTCTAGGACATGTTTCCAATTTTAAAGGGATAGCTTCAACTTCACAATCTGCAACTTCTATTTTCCTCTTTTTTGAAAATGTATTTTTCATAATATTGTCTTCTTCTCTATTTTCTCCAATAGTATCACGTTTCTCAGTGTTATATCTACTTAGTAATCTTCCTAGCAGAAAGTAAGGGAGTTTAGGAAGACAAAAGATAATACAGTAATTGCTAGGCAACAAAAGGGCGTCTCTATTATTCTTCATTACTAAAGAACCCTATGAGGTGTACCTTATTTCTAGAATGAAGACAAACACATTAATATCCTAGAAAACCTCTGCAAGAAATAATAAGAGACCAGTAAGAAATTTTATATCTTCTAGTATATGAAAAAATACAGTACATTTAAAAAAACAACACTTGTCTGTTTTGGTATAACATGAAAGAAAAGGGGTTCAACTACAATAATATAAAACAAAAATATAGATCAGAAAGCATTTTACAAAATTTGAGTGGTGAACTCTAGCCTTGATACTACAACTTTGGTGTCTCATTAAAAATGTTTTATCATTTAACATCAATACTCTTTTTATAAAGTTACCTATTTAAATCTGCGGTGATATGTGCCTATTGTTCTCATATTAAGTCCTAGTGTAACATTAAAATCTGAGTCTAAAGTTTATGTTTCTCCCCCTACCCCACCCCCCAGGGACTTAAAACTACAATTACTAAGTCAAAATTAGTAGCGCGATCAGAGATTCCTTAGTTGCATTTTCTAACGAAGCAGATAAAGACAATTCTTCCTGAACACTATTTGGCATTGTATAGACAGCAGACTTCCATCAGAGTTATTTTGAGAAATATGAGAAACAACTGTCTAGATAAGTTGTATGTCTATAGAGTGGTATGTGGCAAGGATCCAAGTGTGACTACTTTGAATTCTGATAATTCCTGTCCTCACTGAAGTGAACCTGGAAATTCAAATGAGAAAGTTTGCTCTGGTCCCTGCTGCCTAGTTGCAAAGACTCAGTCCAGCACATTTCCTTTAGACTGGTTCTAGAGCCACGTGTCCCCCACTCTCCTCACTTCCTGGTAAATAGAGAGTGTGAGGATCCTTGCTGACACACTTGAGTAACTAATCAAGACCACTGGAGACTGACATGGCTGGCCTGGGGGTTATGGACCTAAGGAATCAATAACTGCATAACGGTAACCCCTGGGTGGGAAGTTTAGCGCAGAATGTGAGAAACTCTAGGGCAGTGGTTCTCAGCCTTGGCTGCACATTAGAATCACCTGGGAATCTTTTTAAAATCCTGATTCTGGGCCTCATCCTTCGAAATTCTGTTTCTTTGTTATGGGATGAGGCCACAACATTAGTAACAAAGAAACAGAATTTCCTGAGGATGAGGCCCAGAAACCAGGATTTTGAAAAGATTCCCAGGTGATTCTAATGTTCAGCCAAGATTGAGAACCACTGCTCTAGGTCTAGGGTCTCTGAAATGGAGTGTGCTGCCTGACATCACTGCCCAACTCACCACATGGAGGTATTTATCACAAAACGACCTTATTAAATTCTAATAGCCCAAAGCACTGAATAAGGCAGTCTCTGATTGATAATTCAGTAATTTAGCTTTCCTATTTAAAAAGTTTTCTATCTTTATGAGTCCAAAGCATTTGTAGCCATGAAAACAAAATAAAAAAAAAATAAAAAAAATGTGCCTCACACAATAACTCAGATTTTTATCTCTGAGCCTTTCTGAAACATCTGGTATCTCCTGAAGCATCTCTTCCCTTTAGAAGTCAATTTCCCAGTAACTTTCCTTACTCCTCCTCTATACTGTTACTCTTGTCCTTGCTATAAGATCTCAATGGCGAAAAAATAAAAATAAAAAAAAATAAAAAATCTCAATGGCCCTGTATAGTAAAATGGAGATTCAGAAGTGTAGATCTTACGCTATAGTAATTTGAAAATAAACCCTTGCGTTACCTGAGTAAGTGCAAACAAATGTCCCTCTGTCAATGTCATCTAGGCAGCGTACTCCCCATCCCTTCTTCTCAGTTTTGAACACCTGTAGCCTCACTTGAAGTCCATGCTGAACTACTCGGTTTTGACACATTTGTCGATTACACTTGCACAACAGGCTGCATTCATAAATGCTGTCAATAAAATATCCAAGATAAAATCAATCAGGCATCCTTAATTAAAACAAAAAGCACATTATAGCGCTACCTCACTAATAACCACAGACTAAGAGTGAAGGAAGTTTCCTAGAGCTAGACTGCCTGGGTTTCCATTATGGCTCCAGCATTTACTAGCTGTGTGATCTTGGATGAGTTATTTAGCCTGTCTGTGCTTTAATTTTCCATTTTTAAAATGGGGATTATATGATAGTATATATCGTATATATATATATATATATATCTGAATATATATACGACATATAAAGTATCATAGGGTTGTTTCGTGAAGATTACACGAGTCAACATTTATAAGGTGCTTGGGACAATACCTGGCACATAGTAAATATCAGCTCTTTAAAAATGTCTAAGAAGTAAATGTATGGAAAGGCAATGTCTAGGAAGAAAAATGTTTTATTTTTTAATAACAACCTTGAAATGGTGAAAATTCCCAATTCTTAGAAGGGTTTTGCACAGGGTATTTCTTAATGAGGAAAAGGCTGCCCCAGGTAGGCTAACTCTAGAGGGATAAGAGCTAGACTCAAAGCAGAGGAGTGTTCTTTTTGATTATACCCTTTATGATACATGTGTGCTCTCTGACTTTCATTTCTAAAAACAATATGCAGGTTTTTTATTTTTAATTCCTTAATTTAGATTTGGGGTACAAAAATATTAAGATTTAACATCTATAAGACTATAGACCACAATAGCAAAGTATCCACCTTTAACTATACAAACACCCTGTAACAAATCCTTAAGGTATATTACCCAGTAGGTATATGTCTCTGTAGTCTTTTATATTTATATCCAACGGCTATTTTATCTCTTGACAAGGAGTAAATCTCAGCATTCCTTGCTGTCATTTGAAGACATGCACATTTTGTTCTAAAAAGGAAGGCAATGAATGGATAAGTCATAATTTAAAAAGCACCAAGTGAAGTAAAGACTGTCTTGATTAAAGTATAAAAGTTATAGTAAAGGATGTCATTGTATTTATGACAACTGTTTGACTCATGGACAGTTGAACTTCTTCCTAAATAGAGCTTTTTGAATGAGAATATCTACCAAAAGTTTATAAATAATTATAAACTGTCCTATCTGCTCATGAAATAAATACTTAACTATGTAAGTGTTCTTTAACTTTTCAAAATGAATTCCTTTCATTTTCTGTTCAGCAGAAGCTTGTTTGTGAATATTCTCCCAGGTACACTCTCTTAGAATGGATAAATTTATGTGTGTCAAACCCAAAAGAGTGTACATAGTTTTGCAGATGTCTTAAGTTACCTTCCTTTCCAATGACATGAAAAGAGATTAGGGAAGCTGATACTGGGTATCTGGTTCCCACAGTTTGTTCTTTATAATGTTGCTAAACAAGAAAAATACAACCATAAAAGAATTTCCCCCCTATTTAAATGATTATCTAATATGACAAGAGACTTATAACTTGATAGGGAGTAAGGAACCTGCGTATCTCAGATGTAAACTGAGTATGTGACTACTGGTGGGCTGGTTAAACTCTCTGGATCTATCACTTTTTTCAACAAGTGACTGAGGTCTTTTCCTCAATGATTCTCTTCTGTGTTTTTCTGTATACACATACATGCATAAGAGTGGTGGCTACTGTTTACAACAGAAAAAAAAATCAACAAAAAATTCATTAATTTGGATTCTATTTACAGATGTAGAAATCTAAAGATGCTTTTTTTGATATGATTTTGTTTGCAAAGTTTAAAAGTACAAAAAATACAAATAGTAACATAATTAACACTCACATTTCTACCACATAGAATTAACTGTCATCATTTTGTTTAGTCCTTCTTTTTCATACGTACATAATTTAAAACATACACACTGTTTATCTGATCTTCTTTAAACAATAAAAAAATTAAACATTACAGATAAACTCTCAAGCGGTTTGTTGTGATATCCTTTATACTTTTAAACATATAGATCTATACACAATATACTGTACTGTTTTTAAATATTTACTATAGTTATTATCCCTCAACTTGCTTTTTCTTTCAATACTATTTTTTGAGACCCAATTGTGTTTTATGCAAATCTAGTTAATTCCTTTAAACTTTTCCATAGCATTTAGATATACAATTATGTTGCTTAAATTGCTTAGTATACAATTAAGTTGCTTAAAGTTTTCAATATAACCGATGCTGCAATGAACATCCTATGCCTATACACATGTGTAAGCATCTCTAGACTAGTAACTTTCAAATATTTTTTACTATGACCCATGGTAGAAAATACATTTTCTTCATGATCCTATACAATCATACATATTTATATATGTGTACAGGTGTATAAACTGCAACAATGGTGGCATGAAACTTCACCCTTATTGTGTGGGATGCATTTGGGTATCTTTTTGTACTATTTAATTTAAAACATGCTAGTTACAACCCCTTAAATGATTTTACATGCCACTAGCTCTATAGCTTGGAAAACAATGCTCTGGATAAAACAATACTCTGGATATACTTAAAAGTACTATTGCTGCAAAGTAGGTATGCACTTCTTCAACTGCTATGTCATGGTTTGAACACCCCACCCTCCCTGAAAAATGACTTGGTATGGAATTCTAGTTTTATATTTATTTCCTCCAGTAATTTAAGCTAATCTATCTCTTTTCTTGTTCTATTATTTCTGATGAAAAGTGTGCTTTTTTCTGAGTTTTTTAAATTTACTCTTTATCCAAGATACTTTTAAAGTTGCATCAATATATTTAGATTTATCTTATTTTCAAAGGCTTTTTGACTCCGAGGATTCCTGTCTTTTTTCAATTTGGAAAATTCTCAGCTATTATTTGAGTGTTGTCCTTTTCTTCACTACATATGTATATTGCAGTTTTTCATTTTATCCTCCATATTTTTTAATCTGTAACTTATTTTCCCCATATCTTTATCTCTTTACATTCTGAGAGATCTTAGTTTTTGCCATGAAATTCACTTATTCTTTCTCCAACTATGCAAACATTTAGTGCATCTATTTCATTTTTTATTTCAATGACCATATATTTTATTTCCCATAGTTCCAATGGTTCTTCTTCATATATACCATTAAAAATAAAATCTCCTTTTCTTGTCTCATAGATGCTAATATTTTAGCTTTTTAGACACTTTAAACATAGCTATTGTAAAGTCTTTTTCAATCAAATTCTACTTTTTCTCTGATTCTTCAGATGTGAATTTTATCATTAGTTGTGACTCAAACTGTCTTCATGGTCCTAAACACCTTTGTGTGCTGTGGCTGTCTGGATTCGATCCAGCTTAATCCTGTTTGTTCTAAAATTACATATAGTCAAGTTATTCTTTTTTAAAAAGTCCCTTAAACTGACTATAAAGTAGAGTAAACACTGTCCAACAGCCAGTTTTTTCTCCAGCACTGAAAGAGATTGAGCTTAGCCAGATATAGTTGGGTTATACCTAGAGGCAATGTTTAAAACAAACAAACTTATTTTTAAACAGAAGTAAAACTTGGGTCCACCTCAGAACAAAAGATACACTGAGAGTGAAGAAATGGGAAAATATATTCCATGCAAATGGAAAGGAGAAAAAACAAACAAAAGAAAAACAAAAACAACTGGAGTTGCAACACTCATATCAGACAAAATAGACTTCAAAACAAAGGCCATAATAAGAGACAAAGTAGGCCACTTCATAATTCTAAAGGGAATGAATCAACAAGAAAATAGAATCCTTATAAACATATATACACCCAATATAGGAGCCCAAGTACATTAAAAAACTCTTGATGGACATTAAGGGAGAGATCAACAGCAATACAGTCATAGTGGGGGAATTTAACATCCCAATGACATCACTGGATAGATCTTCTAGACAAAAAATTAACAAGAAAACAGAGGCCTTAAATGACTCTAGCCCTAGCCAGTTTAGCTCAGTGGATAGAGCATCAGCCTGTGGACTGAAGGGTCCCGGGTTCAATTCCGGTCAAGGGCACATGCTTGGGTTGTGGGCTTGATCCCTAGTCAGGGCACATACAAGAGGCAACCAATTGTGGGAAGAGCTCAGGAGATTTATCTCAGTGCAGTGGCGGATGCAATGGCGTGAGCGCACTCCGCCTATACG